CTTAATCATGATCAGTTTTGGGACACCCGTAATTGCTAAATATGTATTTGGTAACTAATATACAATGATTGATAATCGGCGTATAGTACAACTATTAATTATTGATTGTGAGATATACTATCCTTGGATCTTTATCGAACGCTTCTCAGTGTTAGTAAGGATGCTTAATACGACGCCGTCTAAATTAATTCGCGACAATAAAGACGATGAGCGTCGGCGTCGTAAGAGCCAGCGTTTCTTGGGTATGAACATCAACGACAGTAAAGCGCCGAGAATTTAATAGCATCTCATAAACTCCGTTTAGGGGTTACACCTGACGGTGTCGTGATCGACCAACATGACCTCAATGGATTCGTACCAAAAATACGAGAAATTCACATCTTCTATCGATGAAATTTACCACTCAACTTGAGACTCCTTTGAAGATTCGATGCACTTCACGCCCGCGTGGATTTTACTAGAAAGAGAGAGCCTTCTTAAAAGCTTTACTATTCGCAAAAACTTTAAATCCTGTTTGAAAATTAAGTTTCAAAGAGGATTCCAAATTAAACGCATAAAACGTTCGATCGAAATTAAACTGTGCAAGTTTTCCGCTTCTTTGAAGTGTATTCAAGTTAAAATGTGATGTTTAACTTTAATGAATCTTAAAAGAAGATAAATTGATCATTTAATTATTGCCGTCACTTAACAAAATTAATTGCAAGAAAGCTGATTATTATCATGGATTCCAATGGTAAGCCCGTGCCCATATTTTTGATTTCCAAGCGTTATACAATACCCATTCATGCGAATCATACATCATTCTGTTGATCTTTTGAAACTGCCGCTATTTCATCCCTCGCTTCGTTTGCCGCACAGTTTGTCTTGTGTTGCATAGCAGTTCGGGGAATGTTATTTATTTTCGGCGACCGTAAAGGGAAATTCTCTACGTCGAGTGTATATATGGTAACGATCGTTAAATTTGCTTAAAGCACGAGTTGCTGTAAACATCGGTGTCTGACTATAGTCAGGCGATAAAAACGAAAGATATCGGTCGTTAAGAATTAATGCCAGCACGGAATAGAGAGAGCGAAAGAGAGAGAGAGAGATGATCCGCGCTAATTCCGTGGATTATAGAAGAGTGACGATCATGTTTTCTTAACACGTAGAAAAATCCCCTTCAGGTATTCACGCCGAGTACTACCAGATACATTACAACAGTGTGTGAATACACATTTGCAAATAATTCACTTCATCAAGATTTTCATCATCATCTTCTTCTTGATATTTTTAATAAATTTTCTGAATAAAGAGCAATCAAATAAATCAATATTTATATACAATACAATACGCTTCTCTCTCATTTGTTGTGAAGGCTTGATGTGAAGTTGCTTGATTTTTCTGTTAATCCAGTTACTCATAAGTTGAAAGTGTACAGACCTAAATAGATAAATATAGTCATGGACATCCCTGCAATTCCCCGGATACCAAAAGTGCAGACATTGTCGTTAATACAATAATAGGAAAGCTAGTTGCTCTTGCCACTCGTCTGAAAATCCTGTGGGACTTCCATGTACGACCGAATGTGCATGGTGCGTTGAGGTGATTCCAATCCTCTTTGACCATTACTCACATATCTACATTTCACATCATTATACGTAGAGTCATTCTTTCTTCTCAATCTTTTAGGATTTAATATGATTGATTGCTTTTAACAACCAATATTAGGATGACAGTGATGCATCGGAAATATCCTGAACCCGTTTTGAGACATAAGATTTTATCACGATATATTTAGACTTTCATAAATCAGATATAATCATAGTATGCCAATTACCGTACATTTACATTATAAATGTATAAAATTATCTTATAACTTACCGAAATGAGTAACGCTGCAGCACGTTTGGAAAAATATCTAGAATCGTCGTTCCACTTGGCTTCGAAAATAGACCTGTAAAATACATGTACCGAATAATGTAATGGCTTTTTTTCGTATTGCAGATTATATTATACGTCTGCCGCTATGAATACAAAAAGTACCGAACACTGCACCAGTATACTATCACTATGATTAATAGTGCACCTAGTCAATGTTTGAAAAGAGTTTGTATTCCGACACGGAACCTTAACGTGCCGAAATATTTTGGCCGCATTTTCTATCGTCACGAGAAGCACATTTACCGCTTTGAGACATGCGACATAGAATTCGTGGTGATTTTATTGTCGTGGCACGTACATGATTTCCGACGGGAAACGAATAAATTTCGTGTGGCTTTTTCGCCTAACACCTAATTTTTCAAACGCGACATAAAATATCTCAGATTAATCCTATTGACTGTGAGGTATTATAAGTAACTGAACTCGAGACAGCTATATCAGTTTAAAGTTTACCTCAAAGACATCAAATCTTACATTTCGCCAGAACGTACACCACGCTCCAATAGCACTTAAACACTTACCTCTTGATTGAATGCCAGGAACGACAGAGATCGTAAAGAAGGTTTAGTGCCAGAACAGTAACGCCAGTTTCCTTCGCCAACATCGATAGAGCACCCAAGCAAACGCTGGACCATACATAAGCCGTCTGCTGGCTATAAAAAAAAGTAAATATTTGGAAATTACATAAAAAATATTATACAATCTTAAATTGGATTTTGTCTCTCACGTACTTAGAATACATAAATCGATTGCAGTGATTTAAGTCATCGAATATATCACAGACTTTAAAGTATTACTACCTTCATTCATATATTATACAAAAATTGTAGACTTGAGATAATCGGTAAATACAGCTAAAAATTTATATAATTTAAGTACACGGTGTCTTATAATTATGACTAAAATGTCCTGCAATTTTTTTATTAATTATTAAAAGATGTTATTTATAACGCAGGTTATATTATAATAAATAATATACTTAGAATTTGAAATATTTTTATATAAACAAATCCAAAAAATCAATATCTTCTTCTTGACTCCCAAATTCCAAACGAATCCGATAAATATTTTCCCTATATAGGAGGCTAATGAGAGTGCCACGTTGCTGTTGGTACGTCAAACAATTTCCTTGGATATATTAAATCCTTTATTCAAAATCACATATAGTACGTTTCGACTCTTTTTTGAGTCATCTTCAGCTACATAATAACACCCAAATTGGATAACCGAATAAGTCACATCGAATTGGTAGATTTGATGTTCTTAATCTCTGTGAAATACAAGCTGATATTTTAATATGTTCTTATTTATAATAAAAATTCATGTGACTCACCAAACGATATCCAACCAGGAAAATACAAAACTTAAAATTAAAATATTTTTATATATTTTTATATAAAATTTTATTTAAAAAAGCAGACAAAAAAAGAATTAATATGAATATATGTAGAATAACCAAAACGTCTGTATAAGAGAGAAATAATACTTTAATAATACAACCATATTTTTGCTTATACAGATATATTACATGATATATTTCCAATATATTTTTCTGTTTTCAGATCGAATAGAAACGTCGGTATCGGGAAACAATTCTCACCAAGAACATTGATCCAAAGACATGTAGGATTTATTCGTTCACGTCGGTCGGCATCTACATCAATCTACGTTGAATGACAGATCAGTTCCAAGATGTCGTTCGGAATTTTAGGAACAACGAGACCAATGTGAGACTTGTCCGCCAAGACGAGACCTTTCTCGAAAACTCGCTCATAAAAACGAGGTAAAATGGAAGTGTTTCTTACAATTTACATCAAGCTTCTTAAGTAAGATTAATAGTAACTCGCCGCAGTAATGGCAAAGTGCGAATGAGAATACACCCACTCTATAGAGAAGTAAAGCGGTCAAGATTGAAGAGAACGATAAGAGTCTTGATAAGCCAAATGTATAATTGGAATTAATCATCGGTGGACTTAACTGTCGAAGGATTTAAATGCGATGCGTAAATGATTGAGAAATTGAATTGAAGACGGAAGAACTAAGAGACACCAGTCAGGTAAAAAGAAGGAAGATAGATAAGCATAAAGCGGGGCGATGAAGCAAAGGTGGAAGGAAACGAAGAAGAAAGAGTACTCAAAGGCAGCCAAGAGTAATCAATTTCCTAGGTTCGAAGACAAGCATCTTACCCTTCCGCCATTGGCCGCCCGGCGCTAGCCCTACAGACGGAGTTTTACCTTCTTGTCTTCTGCAAACGCTCTTTTATGTTGGAATACGACCTCTACGAAAGCTTTTTACGCTCTTACAATCAAGTCCGCCTCTACAGATTTTTCGTTATATCAGGCTCTCTCTCTCTCTCTCTCTCTCTCTCTCTCTCTCTCTCTCTCTCTCTCTCTTTCTCTATAGTTTATTAATGAAATTTACTTAAAGTTTACAATTTAGCTTCTTTATGATTAATTAAATTTACGTTCAGAAATAGCGACGTATATCTGCCGTAAAGTCGTAAAATGAATATTACGAGAATAATGTCTCTTTAGAAACATAATTGAAATTGTTTTGTGCGTTGAGTCATTCTTCTTAGCTCTTATGCTGAAGATCGATCATGAATAACCCGGGGCACATTTACGATCCCTGCACGTAACTGTAATAGTAGTTTGTAGAGTAAATTAGTTTAGTTCATAATTTTCGGGTTCCATGTACATGAGAACGAATGGGTCTCTGTTTTGGCGTCAGGCTGGCGTCGTCGCGACGTTAAGTGTCGCCCAACATTCTTGACGTATGTGTAGTCCCTAAGTTCCTCCAATTTACAGGAGGGTATATCAACTATACTCCAACTTTTAGATAATATATACATATATAAGCGTAATGTAGGGCGAATGCGAAATTTTTTCTACTTAGCTAAATTATTTTCTGCGTAACTTTATATTTGTTGTATATAATATCTTAAGGATAAGGAAATATTTAAATATAATAGAACAAATTTAATATAAACCATCTGTATGTCCATATACATTAATCTTAAAGAAGATTAAATGTCTGGAGTTTCAGTAAGACGAAAAGGATTAAGTTATTAAAGTATATACTTACCCATGATAGGCAAGAAAAGACAGCAAAAAGAAGATACACGCTAGAACATCCGCTCTGCCTACGATGCCAGTCACCTGCAACATAAAACGATATAAAACAACATTACAAGAAGATAATACACGTTGCCGCATAAATAAGCGCAAAATACAAATATGTTTAGCTTTCACGCGTATATTTATTGTATATATTTATATCGTTAAAAACTGAAGTGTTCACTTTAGCCTGGTTTCAAAAATTCTCTTCACTCAACAAGTTGCGGTATATAAAGCAATTCTTCGTCTGAATCGGTTTTTGTTTTAGAAGCGAGAAGAGAATAATAGTAGAAGTGCAATAGCCGCAGGACTACGTGTAGATCTCGGAAAATAGGAAACGACAGCCTGATATTGGATTTAGCGGTGTAACACGAGAAGGCTGATCCGAAAGATGTGTGAAGAAAGCAAACCAAAGATCTCCTTCGTGACAAACGAGATGATGGACAAGACGAGCGAGTACGTGAAAGTGTAAAAGAGAAAAGGAAGTGGGCGGGGCTAAGATTGTCCAAGTTATCGACAGCCCAGCACGAGTGAATAACCGAGATTCTCAAGGATCAACTCCAGCCAGGGAAGCCGACCTGCTACCGGAAGCTGGATTTACCCGTCGTACTCATCTCTCTTCCTTCCTTCCTTCCGCTCTGCTGGGCTAGAGTGTACCAGGTGTACCTTTAAAATTTACGAACCCCCGTCTATCATGGTGAGACGACCGACCTCCCACCTCTTAACGAATTAATTCCACGAAATCGCAGGGATACGATCTGCAAGGTGAACAGAAATTGCAGAGCAAGAATAGCGAGATATCAGTGAATTTCTGACATAAAGTTCGTTCTAAAAGGAATATATTAAAATCCGTTCGTTAAGCCGATTACATACAACGTCTAACGTATTATACGTTATTAAGTTAATTAATCTAGACTTGTGATACGTGAAAGAGCTGACTGTCTTGAATTTATGATCAATTGTAAATTAAAATATATCATTCATTTTATTTAAGTTCGATATAAATACATATTTGAAATAACTCGCGTGATAATATAGCGTAAAGGTAAATGGCTTATATTAACTGTCAAATGAATTGTTCATGTCTTATCTAGCAATATATTGTTCTCCAATGTGCTTGACAAATAATTCAAAGATGAAACAAAAACCATTACCGACGTTAACATTATCATTGAATTGAGAACTGTAATTACAGATACGAGAGACATTGATGAATATACGTTTTCAGCGATGCGAGAGACAGAGAGAGAGAGAGAGAGAGAGAGAGAGAGAGAGAGAGAGAGAGAGAGAGAGAGACAGAACGGTGATGCAATTAATCATTCAATTATAACAAAACAGTACCAGGGAGGAATAACAACTAGCATTTATCTTCCAAATTTGGCGTGAATTGTATGCAAATACGAAATATATGAAATACGAGCAAAATATACGAGATATGTACTTCCGATGCTTTGCATAAAAATGACAGTACTAAAATATTAACAGCGCACGATTACATATAAAATGTCTTCTCAAAAATCACATCGTATTGTTTTATACAGTACAACATTAATCGAATACTTAAACGAACATCAACATTCAAACAAAGCCCGCGAAAGATAAACATTGAGTTGACATTTCATTACAATCTCTTTTTTTTTTTTTTGTCATATCGCTGTACATGCTCTTGCAGCAAGTGGACCCGGAGGAAATCTTGCTCGAGGAAACAATACTCCGTCAACGTCAAGGAGAATGAAAACCGAGTCCGAAGCAGGATCTGCTAGAAGCGAGGAGCCACAACTGAAGGATCTGCTTAAGATAACAGAGGTTACGATGACCACTTTGCGATAGATTCCTTCACACGCCTCTTCGGCTGTCAGATTTATGGCGAGGAATAATGGTCAATTTGTGAAAAAAAGAAAAATGACCGATGGGGCATTTGTCCTAACTACGAATGATGGGCCATTGAGAGATAAAAAAAGCAAACGTGGGCGAAGGGTAAATGAATGATAAAATCGTTTATTATGCTTCTATGATCGTAGAGTCCGTTTGTTTCAATCCACTTTACATCAATCCTTTTCACATTCCATCAATTTTCCGAAAGCTCAACAGACATATGCCATTTTTCATTCTTAGATGAAGGTACAAACGCTATTACTAAAATATACGTGTACGAGTATATTTAACGTAGAAATGATGATCTATTACGGAAACGCGTCCCACCGTTACACAGTTAGGGAATCGAGGGATTTACGACGCAAATAGATATGAGATAGAGAATGTTGATGCGTTTGTTCGACTCGATACTAGTTTGCTCCAGTTTATACTTAGCTGAACTCCATTAGCATCTCACTCATTCTGAACTTCTAATTGATTATATGATGTATACTATACTTCCTTGAAAGTTCGCTCGTTATTTCCAGCTCGGAATCTTAATCTTCTTTAAATTCTTTTTCTTATATTATTATATTCCTTCTATTTCTCAAGATACGAACTATTATTCAGTATTGACAATTACTGGCATTGGAATATCTATGCATGCTTATACTGAACAAATGAGTGAAGAAAAGGTCATTATTAATTTAAACCGCTATATGCGAATGAATCATATATAATAAATACCAATGTAATTGTGATATCACTATTATATTTCAATTTTAGTTTATAATTGCATTTCAAATAAGCGGCGCGCAGTTTTGTATAACAAAAAAGGATATTTAGAATTTACATATAAAAATTATTAATTTAAACCTTTAGATCAAGACTGATTTGACCATTTCCTTACTTATTTGATTTATTCACATAGCTGTCTAGATTAACCAATTGTTTATACAAAAAGTTATAAACTTTTATACGATGTTATTGAATTTAATTTGTTACTTAACTCTTAACTTGTTATCAATGTTGTTTCCCGAAGATGTACGCGAAACGTAAAGTCTATTAGTCATTTTATTATAAATTTCATATTCATGCATAGTTTACAAGTGTTTTGTACGAGTAATACAATATTCTGACAAGTATTATTGTAGCATTTGTACTCGATTCCACTTTTGTTTAACAAATTGAGCACGTCTACGCTTGGGTAATACTAATATTTCCCACAATTAATTAATATCATCATTCAACGCGGTAAACCGCAGGCAACGTAGCAAGGGAGGAGAAAAGTAGTGATGTGTATCAACGATGACGCGTAACACCGTGCACCACGCTTCAAATTTCCAGCAATGCACGAATTCCCCTTGTGTGGGTTAACGTCACAATCAATTGTACATTAACGAAAGATTATTCTGTGATAGAGCATGTAATGAGTATGACTGTTTTAATTAGCTGAATTCGTGAATGTACCGCGGACTAGTGAAACAAGCAAGCAAATCAAACCATTATTTTAATATTACGTCCCATTGTTCCGTACGATTCAATTAACTGGAGTCCATATAACATACTAGCCACGTAACACTCGTTAAATTGCCCGCGTCTGCATTTGGCGAACGCGAAGATGAAGATGCAGCTGCGTCTCCTTTCTATTAATATTTCTGATCTAGCAATATATATTCATTCTGATCGTTATATAAAATTAAGCATTACCGTACAGCGCCACAAAGTAAAACGCTCGGTTCAATCCATGATCCGCCGTGTGGATCTCTTGTGAAGGAAACGTTCTCGAGCCATAACGATCGCGCAACTTCATGTTTAATTTGACCTGAAACCGCGAGCTCTGCGGGTAAAGCCATCCTACCGAATGTCCTCTTCTCCCCATACGCCACCCCTTCCGCGCTCGCAAAATTCATCCCTTCCGCGGAACTGACGCAGACCGGGGGGTCGGCGGGTCTCTTTCGCTGGCAATATACGCCGATACGGCAACGACGTCGTAACCACGAAACGACAGCTCGGTCACTCGGCTCTCGTGCTGTAACTGAAGCGCTTCTCGCGCAGGGAAACATTGCCGTGAAGTATAACGACGTCCAAGAGAGAACGTCCTGTTTAAAACGTATACGGTAGCGTGATTACCTTACGCCATAACAACGAGTCAACTGCAATAAACATCCTTGTAAAATAGATCACGTAGATAATAGCGAGACTAAATAAAAATATTTCGTTTACGAGATCAATCGTCTGTGGACGGACCGACGTTGATATGCCTGAAATTGAAATGCAAGAAACCGCGAGATATTACGCACGTAGAGAGAACAAAATTGAATCGTAGAGTTTCACGTTAAATTATTATTTCTTGCGAAATATGGGTATAATCAAGATACGTCATACATACATCATGTTGCACTTTGATATTTTATCCACGTTGCACTTATAATGAATACATTTTTTGTATTCTAAGAAAGAATAATTTTTCTCTGTGAATTTATATGTCTGCGTAACAGTAATATATACGCCTGTATTATAATGTCGTCATATTTTTATATAATCTCATAATATAACAAGAATGTACAGTTTCGGTATATTCCGAATGCGTTCTGGAGAACGCGATTATATTCGTGCAGTATAAGCACGTACGAGACACCGACAGTCTCTTGGCCTCTTTAATATTATAGGAGGCTTTAATAAAGCCCCAGCTTCTTACAGACTTGCTAGCCCCATTCTCTCCTCCGTCACGACGACGACATTGTTAAACCCCTCTGAACTTGCCCTACAAAAGACTAACGAAGTGGGAGAATGCCGAAATAGTAATGAGAGATTCAGGTAATATCGCTGCAATAATTCATAATATTATAAACGATTTATAATATTAACGTATCAATTCATTTATTATTACATTACGATTCGAAACACGGCGGTGCTCTGCATTTTTAGTTCCATTTTTACTTTCAGAAACGCTATTCTCCGAACGATATTCTGACAACCTTGTTAACTTCACCTGTATCCCATGTCAGCTGTTGGCAGCACGAATAGGTAACGGAGTGAAACTAGCGAAAGAAAAGAGGCAAACATCCGACTTCTTATTCTTTTTTTATTTGCGAGTGAATGTTCTTTTTTAAAGCAGTGATATAATTATGACTTTTTCACCCAAAATTTAATAAAACAAATATATAAATACGATTCACGGATCG